GATAAATCATTTAAAACCGACCCAACTAAACAATAATGCTCATCATCAGATGAGGTTTTATAAATGTCGTTTGGCAAAAGCATATTAAGATTTTTTATTAACCCATAATATATATGACAAATATTATCAACAGTAGTTTTAGAACAATGTTCAAAATCTTTACAAAAATTTTTTACTTCTAATAATTTGTAGTAATTTTCAAGTAACGTAGAACTTTTATCTTTGGCAATTTCATATTTATCTACATACATTTCTAGTTCAAAATAAATGATAATGTAAAAATAAATATATTCAAAAGATGTCCTATCTTCTAGTTCTACATTCATAAATAATTCAATTACTTTTGTAATATAAGAAGAATCGTTTAAAGTTACAGAAACATAATTTTGACTTCTATCTGGGATGTAATCCAAAAACCTATTAATATTTGTTCTTTTAATAACGCCTATGGAAAAAAGTATCTCCAGAAAAAGATTTTTTTTAGTCGATATCTTAGAGTAAAGTATTCTTTTGATTAAATATTTAATAAGTGGTTTATCAGAAAGATAAAATAGAATAAACATTGCAAATTTACCACGATTATAGGATAATGATAAAAACTATGACCTCAATTGTTTAAAATTTTTATAATTGTAAAATCTATTTGAATACCACTTGATTCGTTTACATCAAATTTGTATTTGAATGTTTTATAGAAAATTATATTTTTTTCGTTAATTTTAATAAAATCTTTAAAGGGGAAATTATTATCTCTGTTCAATAGAAAATAAAATGATGAAAATTTTGAAATTAAGTCATTAAAAGTCAGAGATTAAAACAAATCGAAGTTGGCCAAAAAATCATAGACTAATTGTCAGTTGTCATTATACAATAATTTTATCTTTTTCTTTATAAAATCAAAACAATCAAGTTGCTCTAAATCGATAGAGAACACATATCTTGTTTTATTATCTTTAGTGACACGAAAATCATATTTTTTAAGATTCTGTTTGTGTTTGGCAGTAAAACTACAATATGAATCGATACATTGTTTATTTTTATGAAAATTTATAAAGTTAGAATAAAATGTATCGAACACAAATTCTGGGCCTCCATTTCGTGCAGAATGTCGATTCATAAAGTCAGTTAAAATATAACTGCCGTCTTCATCTGTAAAATAACGATGAGAGCAATAATTAGTCCCTAAAAATTCTTTCAACATCAAAACTTTTCAAAAAATTGAAAATATTTAGTAAATTTGGGCTATTTACATCAAGTTTGTCAGTTGTATTAGTATAAGTATGATAAATTTTGCAAACCTTATAAACATGACAAATCACAATGCTTATATCATTGATGCCAACACTTCCTCTTCTTGTAACGTAAGCACACAAATCTTTAGCAGCATTTTCAAGGGTAAAAAAATCTTTGTTTCTAGCTTTTCTGCAAACCAAAGAAATAATTTGTTCTTTAATAATTTCAGTCGTTGAATGATCATCACAATTTTTATTTACTTACTAAAATAAGTTTGCAATACTAATTATAAAAACTAGCATCGATGGGTATAGTGTAAAATTTTATTTAAAGAGTAAAAATCAAATTAATCTATCTATGATTTTTTTCAATACGTATTGTAAAACTTGTAAAACCATGTAGACGCGAAATTTATTTATTAATAATAAATTTAAAGATAATTAAAAAAGTTGTTTCTAAGCTTTAATAAAATTCAAAATTGAGATAATTTTATATAATATTGTCAGAAGTAGTAAAAAATATAAAATTTTATCGATTTTTAGTAAGTTCTTAAAACATTCATTGTTTTATTTACTTTAAATTGTTGCTTTTAAAATGTATGTGTAAATTTAAAAACCCAGAAAAAATAGAAATAAATAATTATAATTTATACCAAAAATCTGTCTTTTATCAAACATTTTAATTAATTACAGAATTTCTATTTCGTAAGATAGTTTTAATACTGCATACATAAATAAACTTTTTTATGGTCTCTATGTAAATATTTTTATCCGTCTTTTATTTCTTAGAAAAAGGAAGAACTAGAAAGTATAATTATATTAAGAAATTACATTTATTTATACCAATATTCAAATATAAAGATTTTTTAGCTTAACACAGATACAAAGTTATATTTATTTTTTTTTCTAAGACAAGGATCATTATTTTGTAACCAAATGATTTATTAACAACCTATTAAAACCTATTAAATTTTTTTTATCACATGTGTTTTTTTACTGTTGTGGATCGGACATCCTTGCAAAAATAAATATTTTCACACCATATCTAGACGGTAGAGAATACCAGAAATAGTGTTTTTAAAGTCATAATTTTTATGCAATTTTGTATTGTTAAATTTATTTAGTTGATATAATTAATGGAAAAATTTTATGTTTTTTCTCCATCTTGTGATACTTCTCTTATTTTATAGCTTTGTTAACTAAAACTAAATTTGTTAAAAAAA